CACAAACAGAATTCACGAGAATACGTTAATGTTGACTGTGTGAAATACACCGTGAATCGATATGAGGACAGTGATTCTGATTATCTTCCTCTCACCATTGTGTTTCGGGATATGGGTCAGTAATGATGCACTAATAAATGTTTCAAATGTAATAGACTCATTTGTATACATAAAAGTAGCGCATATCACAACGAAGAGGCTCAGAGTTGGCTACATGCTTAAAATTGATCCAATCTACTTAATATTAACAAGTAATATGGTGGGATACGCAAAAAAACGAGATCTGTTAAACACTAAAACTGACCCAATTAACAAGTACATTTAATAAACTTACAAAACATACGAAACAAACTAATATGTGCAAGTTTTCTGTCCTTCCCAAAGGTATCGAGGAAAGGCGATTTCTGAAGCTCAGCACAAGTGATAGACAATATACCACATTGAGATTGATCAATGTTTAAGAAATGTTTTCTGAACAAAATAATTTTCGGTCAAACCATATGACTGATTACTCCAATACAAACTGTGTGAATGAATTAAGTACTTATTGACTATACGATGAAATATGTTAAGACACATTACTATAGAGAGTTGAACCTGAGTTACCCAACAGACGTAACACCCGAAATTGTGTTCTCTAAACTTATCGTAAACACTTACTTACACCTGTCACCCCTAGTGAGGTATAGGCTACAATCAGGGATCTTGAAATAACTTATCCTGAGCCTTTTTTTACAGGTTTTACTAAATGCTATTCATGGTCTAGTTTCCGGGTCTACGTATCGTTTGATCTGCCACAACATTTCTGAACTAGGGCTTCCAGTGTGACTGAGATCTCATGAATTGTATGCGAGATGATTGAACTCTACACTTGGTAGTTGGTTCGTCTTCTTCTGGAGCAAATAACTGCTGGTAGACGTTACCTGGTAAATGTGATGTAAATTGTGTAGAAGGCTGTTCGTTTATATTTGTACACTTTTGTAGATGGTGGTAGATCTCTAAGTTTCAGCTGCTTAAAACAAATTTGTAGCAACATTAACATCTGAAATCGATACGTTCGTCTTCCCCTTGCTTTCGCAATCAATTCCGTAACATATTCAGTTGAACACTTAGAAAATTAGACAGATATGATTGTTTTCTAGTGCAAAGTGGATTACTCGACGTCGTAAGTAAATATATTATATCTGATTAATAGAAGTATCGAACTTATTATTATTAATATTCGAATTACAAGGAGTTATATCCCTTGTGGCAAAACGAACAGTTGTTCTGTGGATTAGCTTGATGTGTCCAGTTTTGTTACAGTTGAAGCCTTTACTTACTTGCTTACGTACGCCTGTTACCCCAATGGAGAATGGACCGCTGACCGGAATTCTTCAAACCACTCTGTTCTGGGCCTTTCGTTCTACTTCTATACAAGTGTTGTTCATTCTTCATATGTCTGCTCCCATTTCTCGGCGTATTGTGTTATTTGGTCTTCCACTTCTCCATTGTTCTTGATGATTCCAAGTTAGGGCTTGCCTTGTGACGCAGTCGGGTGATTTCCTAAATGTCTGTTCTATGCACTTACGGCATCTCTTTCTGATTTCCTACCCCGCTGCGGTCTTGTTTCTTCTCTCCCACAGTAGGTTTTTGCTAATAGCGTCTGACTAACGGACCAAAGTGTTTTGCATAGACAACTGTTAAAAACACTTGTACCTTCTGGATGATGGCTTTTGTTGTTCTCCGGATTTCGCTTCATACAGTAGAACTGTTTTGATATCCGGCAATAGCCTTAAAGGGATCCCGGTGGAGTTTTATCATAAATAGTATTCATTGAAACTGCCCCTCATGTAGGAGAAAAAGCCGCCGACAGAGATTCTCTAATTAAATTTCTACTGAGCTCTCATTTCTAGTTATTTTCAGTTGCTATTCATTATTTTGATGTCTGCCTGCTTTTCTTCACCCGATATCTTTTTGAGTCTTCTTCTATTCCTTAGGACTCCACGATCCCAAGCTGAGGATTACCTCATAATGCAGTTTGAACCCTACCACGTGTGTCCTGTCGAGCGCTAGTGTCTTTTTACAAGTTTTTACTAGTTTGTTGCTGACGATATCCAACCAACGGATCTGTAGTGTCATGAGTAGACAATTGTTTGTAAATACATCTGCTTGTTTGATGATGTTTGGAGTGGTTATGCAAGTTTCGAATCCGTAATTTACAACCAACTCGACGTCTGTAATGAAGTTTCTGACTTTGATGTTGGTTGACAGTGGATTTCAGTCTCATATGTTCTTCGAATATGCATATGCAGTCCTTGCCTTGCCAATACGTGCCTTTACGTCAGCATTAGATACCCTTTGTTTATCGATGATCCTGCTCAAGTACTTAAGACTTCTCGACTATTTCGGAGCTTTTTAACCATACTTGCTGTAGTTGGTGCCTACTGTGTTGGATTTCAGGATCTCGCCTTTTCTCCTAAGCGTGTTGGGGATAATTGGTGTATTTGTCGGTGTTTATGGAATAGCAGAGCTAAGTCATATATGTAGTTCGAATCTTCTAGCTTCTTCCAATCTTTCCATTATATTCTTGCTTTCGCTCTATCGATTTCGACAAAAGACGACCACGAGAAGAAGGAAAAAGTGGAAGGGGAGAGTTGCCACCAGTGAAAACCTGGAGGCACTGGCCGGTCGTTTCAAGCAAGTATAGGACTCCTCAGCAGTGCGCATCCACGATATCGAATGCATGAGTTGATCGAAGTTCGACATCAAAATGCCGGCTCAGTGGTCAAAAGGTTGAGTGCTTGCGCGCGAAACCGAGGTTTCTGTGTTTGGGCCTCACACGCAGGATTGTGGGTGCACACTGCTGGGGAGTCGCAGAAGACGAAACGGCCCTCCATTGTCTTCAAGTTTTCAGTGGCGGTGCAGCTTACATTAAATCATGAATTCGACTAATAAAATTATACATCTAGTAAAATATTACTGTTCTCAGCTAGATCATCATCAGACTTTATTTAATTATACAACAAAGATGTTTAAATGAATGAATGAATGAATCCAAATCGTACGACAAAACAAGGTCATCTCAGTGTGTTAATGATGATAATGAGAAAAAAATTTAATGAGTGAGTTTTATCAGCAAAAGTCGTAAGTTTTCTCTTCATTGACACTTTTTATGTTACGACTATACCTAATGATAAGAATAATTAAGAATAGCTTGATAAGATTCACAAACATTTCGACCAGTAATGTAAATCAATTGTAGAATAAATGAACTTAGTGACCGTTGTGTAAAAATATGTTTCATATAAAATATATGTCTAGTCAGTTTAGGAATGTAGACCATCATCAATGAGTGAAAATAGACAAAAAACGACAGAACTAGTATGTCTTGTCGCCTGTCATTTATCTTCTAACCAACGAACTAACTGAGATATATGAACAGTTTTAACCCAACGCCAAGTTTGCCAACATGATTAACCAAGGGACGAAATAAACCCTGATGAGAAATTGTGAATGTGTCATTTGGATAATTGGAAATACGTTGTTCCTTGAATGACTAATGTTGATAAAAATTTGTGATAGGATGGAGCTGTGAATCGAATTCTCATTGAATAATTTCAATAAATTTTTGTTGTCCGTTTGTAGTATCGTCTGAGCGCATATTCTAGTTCTGGCTGTCTGGGTCAAATGCTTTGTGTGTTTAAATTAAAGAGATGAAAATATTCAAACTAGATCAGTTAGCCACATTGAAGCTACCTTGATTCATTATCTACAGTAATTTCGTATTCGTCGGTTGTGCTCATTATTTTAATACAAATTAGTCTAGTTCAACTGCTATTCTTCATGTATAAATATCCTAATAAGCGATTGCGTAGTCAGATATTTATTTACAATGTAATGTGCTGATTGATATTTCCGAGATATTGAAAGTCCTTATCCTGCTTTGTTCTCGTGTTATTTTAATTCTCCACTTCCATGAATGTGTCAGTGTCCATAAAACGTTCATCATAAATTACACATTATATAGATAAACAATGATCATGGTTAAACGTACATAATCACTTTATATTTGTGGAACGCTCGTTTGTTTACAAAGAAATTTTGAAATACGTGATACCGATCGATAAAATAAGATTAATGTTCTAACTGAAATTAAACATTGTGATGCACTGATTACTGTCTATTTGTTTTTTTCATGTCTCCCTTCACAGTTGAAATTATGTCGGAAACTCCAACATCATTATTAGTTATTGGAGCAGGTCTGCCAAGAACCGGGACGACCAGTATGAAAAAGGCATTGGAAATAATTTACAATCAACCTTGTTATCATGGTTATGAACTTGTGACCAGAAAACAATGTGACATTGCTAAATGGCAAATGCTTGTCGATGAAGTACGAACGACAGGTAGTGAGGGGAAGATACATAAATGTTTGAGTGAGATATTGGATTGTTATGTAGGTGTGACTGATGCTCAATCATGTGCATTCTACAGGGAGCTGATGAGTACATATCCTGATTCAAAGGTACGGTAATTGGTATACTGTTATGATTTACGATTTTTGAGAGTTAATACTCATGTTTGTTGAAGGAGACGAATCCTGTATGTTCAGCCTCATGAATGTTATGACTAAGGCACATTGACACTGCACTGAATCTACTCCATTTCTAAGCTATAAACATTGTGAAAGTCGTGTATGACTATTCGTTATAAAACTGTAATGAATGGTTTAACTCGGCTGCTGAAGGTTAATATTTATGCACTTATAACATTGAAGTTATCCCGAAAATTTACTCAATCGCTCAAACAAACGTGATTCCTAAAACAGACCAAAATAATGTTTTGGTATACATCTTTGAATGATTTTTGAAATGTGTTATTTCTATATTTATAATACCTTATTATATCACAGATTTCTTTTTATATAGGTTGTACTAACGGTTCGCGATAAAAACGATTGGTTGGCTAGTTTCCGACAAGTGGTCATGCCTAAATCAGATGATCCACGTAAAATACACATGGATGAGGGGAAAAGACGTGCAGGGATCCCCATTGAATTGGACATACTGCTTACTGATTCATTGAAACTAGCATTTCAGAAGGAAGATATTGATTTTGATGATGATGCAATGTTACTTGAATGTTATGAAAAATATATCAAAGCTCTTCAGGAAAATATACCATCCGAACGCCTTCTAGTACATCGATTTGGAGATGGTTGGGAACCATTGTGTAGATTCTTGAATGTGGATGTACCAGCTAACATATCATACCCCGTGGCTAATAATCAGTCTGACTTGCAAAGGCTACGGGAATTAATAAAGAAGTGTGGATCGATTAAGGAAGTAGCTAGAATTCATCCAAGAATTATATAAAATTGAATTAAACGCCTAATGTTTTAAACCCTGATGTTATTATCAGCCAAGAAATAAATTGTCATAAAGCTTTGAAATCTATCTTCTTATTGACAATCATGACAATGTTAGTGAAATATGTAGTCAGTATAATATACTTTAGTTTTGAATGAATTCATTATTTTATTGTCACACATCACAACGTACATCGAAACAACTTGTTTATAACAGTCAAATAACTGAATGTAGGAATGATGTTATGAAGGTCGTCACCAAAAGATTCAGGTTTGTGAGGAAATATTTTGATAGCATTTGTGAGCACAGTGGATGTTTTTGAGCAAAGACATGAAAACATCGATTAAAGTTATACAGAACAAGATAGATCTCGAAGGTATTCAGTCGTTTATTCTACAAATAAAATTATCTGGTCTGTTTGACGATGTTCTGTTCGTAGGTGGTAATTGCTAAAGAGGTGACCGATACACTGGCTGACCTAATCTGCATTCGTTACTGTGTACGAAACTTTGACATTCATACGTATTTATCTGTGGACTACTCACCCAGCTTCACATTATGGCCAGTGGCTCCAGTAAAAGAGAATTTTCACCAAATTCTAGGCCAACTAAAAGGTCAAATCCTGCAACCCCCTATTTCTGACGATTCAGTACATTACAGTGTTATACGCATCTTATCCACAAATATCTCCATCACTGCCTGACTGTTCGTGTCACAACCTTTCTTCCACTCAAACTAACAAAAGTTACCAGAGTACTGGTTACTTCACTCTCCCTCAAAATGCATAGGAAATAGTAATAAATATGATATTAGCAGGTTTATCACTCCCAAACTTTTCTCTATTCTTCGGGATTACAATTGTAGTTACTCTAGGATAGAAAACATTTTAGAGAGCATTTCCACCCCTACTTGCTGAATAATCTCTTCAAACAACTACACTGGCCCATTTAAGTTTTTCCCCAACTAATGTTCTCAGCGAAATAAACTATCGAGGAACAAACATCCCGTCGCTTTAAGAACATTGCTATCGCTCCTTCACAGTAGTTTTAGCTCTGTGACTGACTCTTACGAACAATTAGCGAATACATCATCCACTCATTTGCCCTGTTCTACTACACCTGTTCCTGTGGATTTTAGGGATGAAGCATCCCTATTCCTTACAACGAATACCATATTTCTCAACAGAAGACAAGTGACTTATTATAAAGAATCATCCATAACTCTCAATCGCATCAACATTGAACGAAATAACCATTACGTGGTCCTTCTAATATCGAAAAATGCATCAAAGTACCATAAACAAACAGTTGAACACAGATATACTTATTGTCTTATTCATGACATTTGCAACCCTAAGCTCCACTTTCATATTCTTTGATCTGTTATCAAATCTATGTCACGCATACTCTGACCATTACCTCATAACTGATACCATTAGTTAGCTTCATGGCACTAAGATTTACTTAATCAATGTTCGACCGACATTACAAAGGCTTCAGCCGTCTGATTTGCTTGTAGCATGAAGTTGGTAGTGTCAGAGTATTTCAAGTAGCTGTGTAGCATCGGAAGCAGATAAAAACAAAATTTATATATACCACTAATGTAAGAGAGCCTAACATCACAGCAGAAGGGATAGTGATGTTTCTGACGTTAATGATCCCTACGGCTAAGTGGGATATCACGAGCAAATCGAATTACGCTCTTGGACCCATGAATGTCTAAGAGGTCATACTGTAATTGTTCCCCTATAAATGACTAAACGTCACTATTCACGAACATTGTCCGTCTCGACCCTAGCTCTTTACATTTTCAGCACCCTTATTGTATATCAACGGAAACATTTGTGGGACATACGACTTTGTGCTGCACTATCGCTTGTACCTCTAGAAATTATGTGGGATCACTTTCGAGGAGGACAAATTTATACGTTCATGTTAACGTCTTTGATTGACTGCTCTGGAATTTACCAACATTCATTATCGACCATCAATTGCTTGTCGTAACGCCACTCCCACAAACCGTGCCAAATCTCATACTGGAGATTGGAATCATTCAAGCATAGTGCTCCGAATATGGACGACTTCGTGTTACAGAATTTCTGTCTATTTGATTCAAGCGATTTACACAGATCACAATGACAAAATTAAAGTATCCATTATTGAGGGCATTTGAAGCAGTACACTATCTCATGCTATGTTCATTTTATTAACAATATGAATAGATTTCTTAGATTGATGTACTCGTCAACATTTGACTAAGCAAGTATATATTCAAGAGTCCAATGACTTTATCAGTCATCTTTCATTTAGTCCTTGCGAAAATCTCTAACTATCATTTCAGCTCACTTGAACGAACTGATATAAGAACAATGGAACAACTAAGATGTTCACTACCACATGAAGTAAGCGTAGATGACGCTTTGCGGACCAACATTTGAGATAATCCATTGAAGTATTATTCTCATAAGACTTAAAAACACCACAAGTATTCACCTGAAATGCAAAGATGAAACATCACTTTGTCACATATTCGTGTGACTCCTGTCTAATCACTGAAGAATGCCTTTTCTGATACATGAAAATGGAGTAATTTGGCAGATGACGTATTCTATTCATCCAAATGTGGTAAACCAGTTAATGTATTACAAATAACCATGCATTTAACGCAAAAAGACGTTGTAATAGTTTCATTATTTACATTATGATTTATGAATCGCAATAAACAATTTAAACTATCACGAAATTTCAGAAGTAACACTGATTTTACCTTCGATTAGTGGTATACAATCAGCATTCCCGTATAAAATTCACGTGCTTTAACATGCGATACTGACTAATAACTATTCAGAATGTTTTAGCGGCCCCAAATCTCACTCCATTTAGGTGGTATGACGGATTGTTATTGAAATGCATGTCACAAAACCTCGAATATATTTTCTGAGTGAAATAAATAACTGAATTAGGTAAGCTTAATTCGAGAACGGATATTGGATACAAAAATTCTGTACAATCGTTGGTCGGAACGCAAAGTTAGACAAAATGATACACAATGGAGAAGGAGGTTAAGCCAACCTAACTTAACCAAGCATTAGTTGACATTTCTAGTCACACAAAATTAGTTACAGATATGTGATGAGTCATATAAGAAAAGCGCACACACACGCTTACATAAGACCAGTCAGGAAAGTTCTTTGTCCTAATACACATTCATAATGCATTCTGAACTATTCATTCTACGTACATGCTACATTTGTGATTACATGTATTCAATTGCATTTCAGATCTATTGCTCTTCTATGAAGCATAGATCAGCGGTTTCTACACTGCACTTTTGACTTGAAATAATACTTAAATCAGAGGTATAAATATCAGTTTTCTCTGTGACTTATGAATGAATAGCGACTAGAATAATGACTGAAATGCGGACATCAATTCGAGTGATTGAAGCCGATCTTCAAAGAAATGGAACAAAGAGTATGACGAATGCATTTGAAGTGCTTTATACTCAGCCGTGTTCTGAATTACATCAAAGTATCGTGGAGGCTTCATCATGAATATTGATACAATTCCATTTAATTTGATTGAGTACAATAAAGCAAATTTGACACAATGTACGCCTACAAACACTCATCTATATATCGATTCAACGTGATTTTGAGAAAGGTTTCATGAGAATCGTGGGCCTCAAATTGACATTTCATAAACTAACATTTAAATCGTAATAATCTGTACAGAGTCAGCTTGAATGATTGATGGAATACCGTTAACGAGGATCAATATCTTTAAACACAAAGTAAAATACTCTGTTGTACAATACATGTAATAGTTATTCATCACTTCATTGTAATCATGCTGATAATTTAAGAATAGAGTGGATTCGGTCAAATTTATTTCATGAACCAAGACAGGTTTCGTGAAGTTCGGATAGTGGATCACATATTCTTTCCTAACTCATGAATTACTTATGTAAGCTTATCAGAACGATACCTGAAAAAATGAAGTTCAAATGTAGTCTGAATTGATCCACTGCTTGTTTCAAGGACTTTAATCCGGTTTCTTACTTATTCATCACATGATCAATATCCATAGATATTAGTCTGACTATCTTTTGAATGACCATGACTGTGATATTTTAAGACTCTCGCGCTTCTTAAATGCAGCAAGTACTGTGTTTTGGGTTCATAACAGATAAAGATGGAAGACGACCAGATTCAGAGAACAATAACGCTGTGAGATCGTTCATGGGATTGGTCAACCGTTATAGTACATGTAAGATCCTTTTTGAATGTTTTGTGTGTGTGCGAAAATCCTTCCACGTATACACTTGCACTTTGTCCCTATTGTTTCCCTTAGTTGTACATTTTTAGTTTTTTTGATTCCATTTGAGTTGTTAATATTTGTATTTTATTATAGTTTTTATTTTTCTTACGCATTCACTAAGTTTTTGTGTTTCTTCCCAAAATGCGTCTATGTTGTTTTACTTGATATTTGTTATTGACGGCAGCCATATTGATTTGCTCCTCCTTCGGTGCGTGTTCTATCCTGTCAGGATAGAATAGCGTTCATTTGTTGTGACTGGTAATTTTTCCCGCATCTTTTAACAAATTCCTTATTTATTGTAATTTAGATTTGATTGATTGAACAATTATTGATTGAATAGCCGGGTGGTAATATTTGTTTAGGTAACAATGTACATTTAAATTTATGATAAATTATAGAACTGCTATTTACCCGATTACTTGTTTTAATTTTGACGGGCAAGGGTGCTTGTCTCACCTACCTGAACGGCTATTCTTCAGTCCAAACTACGGTTTGTTCTAAACAAATATCAATTGGTCAAAGTCGTTTGGCTTTCGTTTCGCGTATCCCAATTATCGTTTCTAGGAATATTTGGTCGCTTGCTTGTGATGCCAAACAATCGTCGAAGGAAATTAAGGTCAAGGCTTGTGGATGTTAAGGGAGATGGACAAAAAATGGATCCCCTCAAACAAAGCAAGTGCTCTTTGA